GGCTCTTTTTGCTGTCATATTCAAAAAAATGAATGGATTAGGGACCACAGACAAATTTCTATATAGAAGCATACAAAGGTAACTAAATGGATCCATTCGTATCTCGCATTTGACAAGGTACTAGACTAAGAGCAGGATAATGGCTTTCTTGCCCAATCTGCTTTTTGTTAGCTCATTTATACTTTTGTACTGATCTCAGGCTTTAGAATTCCCTTAACCATATAAAGCAATCTTGAGTGGTTCGAATCGTGGATATATGATACAAACTCTCTACACACGCTCTAGTGTGGGACTCAGGCTTGCATGTGGGCTCACAAATAAATAGTCAAATATGCATAACTCGAAATTCAACTAGCTAAGAGACTTGACCCAACTGACCATCCGTGTTAGAGGCATGTGAACCGAAACCAATTGCAATGATTTGAGAGAAGAGACCCCTCAACCATATAATAAATCTTGGGTGACACTAATTTTGGATATGTGGTAATAAACAAACATATGAATATGCATGTTGGGAAATTCAAACCATAAAAGACTTAGGTCACTGATCACCTAAGCCCCAATTTTGTTATCATGTGTAAGTCATCTGGAGTGGCCCTTAAGTATATAATCAACTTTACATGATCCTAATATTGTCAAGTGGAATAAAAGCTCTCTTCACACCTTACTTTATGTAGGACTAAAGCTCCCATGCGGGCTAAGAAAAAAAAGGTGTAAGAGATATGGCCCATCGGCTAACCTACAGACATGCATACTTTGAGATTCCAACCACTCAAAGTCCAGCTTTGCTATCTTGTTAGATACATCCAACTCAAAATCAATTGGCAATAGATGGAGTGACCACTCAATAATAGAAGTCCGCCTTGAGTGGTCCTAATATTTCTATGTGGGAAACAAGCTCTCTTCACTTGAGCAACCCTACGGGCTATAATTGTTAACTGTTATGATTGTTCAAAATGAAAAGTAATTGCCTATAATTTAATCTGGAATGTGTAACAAATAATTACAGCATAGAAGCTGTGCTCCATCGCGTCACGCTGTGATTCCACTTGGGGTGGTTTTTCCATATTTATTTTCAGGGAAAATGGAATGTGAAAGTATCTTTATTTTCTTCAATGTGACAGTGATGTTTGTTCCCACCTTGTCATGGTAATACATTTTGGCATTCTACATTCACAGAGTATTATAATACTCCATAAAATTTCTTATGCTACCCTCTTTGACATTTTTCAGTCATTGTGGTTCTTGTGAATTTGGTAGTAAAGTGCCTTTGTAAGGAAGAATTCTATCTTGTGACCTGATGGGAAGTTAAAACTATGACCCTCTAGTTTTAATACACAGTGATTATAAATGCGAGTAATATATATTCGTTCTCAGATGTACTTCATTTTCCCATCTGCCTGATTCTGCCAGAATCTATTTTTAGATTGATTATTATATATTTTCCTATTGTGCAGGCATTTGTTCTCAAATACCTTATATTCTTTCCTGAGGAATCAAGTAAAGCTGAACAAAAAACACCAATGGGTTCAGGAAGACTGTCTGAAAGTGAATTTGTTGCTTTGGATGTTTTGGCTTCTATTTCTGACGACAGAAAATTAAGGTGATTGATCTTTTAATGTAATTTGTAGATTTACTTTTCGATATCATTTTAATTTATTCAAAAAAATAATAAAACAAAAAAAATATTAATAACACATTATTTCATGAACCCATTCAAGTGGCATGTCAGTAAAGAAGGAATGAATCCTTGTTTAACAAGGGGCCTTTCAGTAAACAAGGAAGGTAATCATTATTTCGAGTTTTCATTGAAACACTAGTACTCAAGATAGATCATATCAACGGTATACTAAGCCAGCTCGAGCTCTCAGATTTTTCTTGTATAATTTTAGAAATTTTAAGTAAGCATTTTGACCAAATAAAACTCCATTTCTTTTTTTTTTCCCCATGCTACTTACACATGATACTTGGGAGGGTTAGATGAAATACTATTTTAACAGGTCACATTCTCATACAAAGTGGCTGCTGCCAAGCTTGAACACGCATTCTGATCCTTGACGGACCAAAACTTTTACCATTGCACTAAGCAATGAGATAATCACCCTGATTTTCACTCTCCTACTTTTTTTTCCCAGTGATGTTTTTGCAATCACGTAACATGCACCATCCATAGTTGTTAGCATCTTACGATTCGTCGATATATAGTATCCGAATGATACTTATCTTACGAGTTATATCGTTTTTCACCGTATCTTATGATTCGCAATGCACATCTTACGATATACTTCGATACAATGAAAAAATTTATGCAATATTAAAATGACATTGTTTCACTAGATTTTTTTTTTATCTTAAATAGTGAAACAACATTATTTTCCTATGTGTTATTTTTTCTTTTTTGGTTTGATCCAGAACCAAAAAAAGCTCTCGATTATCTTATTCTTATGAGATGCTTTTTTTTCTCCTGCAGCTTTTTTTCTTCTTCTCATTCAAACAAACAAAACCCTAACTATATTTTGATCTTTGTTGTGAAGCAAACAATTCTCTCTTTTGATCTCTATTGGTCACATGCATCGCACGACATAACGAGTGAATTGAAATGATATTTATATTACTTCAGACACTACATACTCAGATTCCAAATGGACAAATTCAGCGTTTATATTTTTTAGGTATATGTTTGTGTATAATATATATAAAAATTTAAATTGAGTTTTTATTACGATACACGATATGTTATGATACACAATATATTATTTTTAAAAAACGATTCGTGTTCTCTAATACACTTTTTGACAACCTTGGCACCATCCATCTTTTTCTTCTTTATATTTTAGGCTGGAAATGCGATGGTGAACAAATCCATACTAAATATTGAATTTCTAATGCTTGTTTGTTTTGTCTGTGATGGTTCTTCTTTTGCCTTGCATGCACCCTTTATGTTTAAGGTTGGGTGAACAAAAAGGTAATATGTATTCAAACAAGCTTTGTGTCTAATGTAAAGTGTCATGCCACCTGACTTATGAGCCAAGTTTCACTACATGGAATCAGCTTGTTTGGGGTCAAGCATATGCAGATGCTGACTGTTGCAACTGTAATATGTATCCAAACAAGCTTTGTACCCATGTGAAGTGTCATGCCACCAGATGCATGAGCCAAATTTCACTACATGGCATCAACTTGTTTGACTTCAAGCATAAGCAAATGCTGATTTAGCACCAATCACCATTTTGACAACCTCAACACTGGGCCCCTTTTCTTAAAGTGTCAGACTACCCTGCTGTGATTGGGGCTAATTCACTTGCTGTATTTGGTTTGACAGTATACAACTGAACCCTTCAACCCCTGTGCTTTCTTTAAATGCATCCCATGTAAACTTATGGTTTAAAACATGGCTAAATGCCCTGTTTGTTTCTATCCATTAGATTCCTTTCTAGTTGTCATTTGCAATTATGGATATCCTTTGTATTGATCAATTGTTTTTCTTTTCACTCTTAGACGAATCCTTTCTTGAGATCTTTGTCAACTTTCTTACAGATCCTTGGTCAAAAGTATGGGTGAAATATTGTTTCTGTGTGGGAGTAATAAAAGGGCTGTGATTGCATCTCTTAGCATTTTTGACAGTTACATTGAGGGGTCTGAAGATTGTTCAAAAGAAGAGGTTAGTTGCATAAAGGTCTATGCTGATACAATTGTGTTAAGATTGGGAACCGGATTGAAATGCGAACTTCATGATTGTCATTTCGATATATTTGCTATTCAGGGTATGAAATTTTTTCTAATAATGAGTTTATGCATTGACAGATCATCTTAAAAGCACTCGAAGGTCTCTCAATTGAATCAGGTTCTGATTTGCAAAAAAATTTGAGAGTTAACACATACACCTCACAGGTGAGTGCCTTTCATAGGCTCGAAGCAGTGATTCCTGTTTTCCAAAGCCGTATGGGGGCAATGCTCTTTCTCATTTCTGCTTTGCTTTCTCGTGGACTGGTATGTTGGTTCCACTTTTACCTTTTTGCTACTTTCCTTTTTTGTTTCTTTTTTCTTCATGACCTGTGCACTCATTTATTATCTGAATTCTAGAGATTGTGTACTTCCAACTGAACCTTGTTATGAATTGACACCCTATTACTTTGTAGACATTCTTCCTAAAGATTGTCAGGATACTAATCACCTTAGAATGATTCGTGGATGAATAATGTTTGTGTTAGAGTTCTTCTTTTATATTAGTAGTGTAGGATAATAATGTAATTGTTCGTAATATCGGTTTATTATAAATAAGAGTGTAGGGCAACATTGCCTACACAACTGATGATCCCTCTCATTCTCTTTCTCCTTTCTTTTTTCTCTCATAAACACTAATATCAATTTTATCATTTAACTTGATAACAGAGTAGGTTTTTTTATAGCAAATAATTGCAGAAAAACACAGTAAAAACAATCAGAAGGAAATTTGTGCGTTGACACCATTGCCAGAAAATGATGTCAGTGATTCTTCAATGACTTTTCCGGTGAATGCAACCCTAATCTGATAATTTTTGTATAATTTTTGAGGCTATCTAAAGAGGGTTTCCTATTTTTGAATGATTTTCAGCAGCATATGGTCAATTTATCAGATTTGGTGTTTTTGGGCAACTTGGTGTATTTTTTTGCTTGGATCCCTTACTTGAGAAGGCCTACTAGAACTCAAGAGAATTTTTGTGAGAAGCCCAACTCTCATTGGTGAGTTTTGAGCCTTTTTTTGTGTGTTTTGGGTTGTCGGCTACTGTTCTAGTCACCGGAACAGTGCACGAAGCAGCTTGTTGGGTTATTTCTGGCCTCTCTAATCTTCTAGTATGTAGTTTCTATCGAAGTTTTGAGTTGCCCAACCCGGTTTAGCGTTTGGGGGAAACTCATGCTAAAAACACTGTTCATGCCTGAACAGTGTTCGATCTGCCCCTAAGTTATGAACTTTGGTTGTTTCTTAGCCCCTGTGGTGTTTTTTGAGTCCTGGTGGTGTGATTTGGTGCTGCTTCTCTGTGGGTTATACTGGTGTGATAGCTTGTGACTGTTGATGATGTGTTTTGGTGACTCCAAACCTTCAACTCTACTGTTTGGAGGCTGAACAGTGTGGATTGTTCTAGCTTGTGGTTAGAATTATTATTATTATTAATTTTTTTTTTGCGTATGTGTGTTATTTTTTTTGCGGAATGCTCCTGGGTTTGTCTTCTTTGGGTGGTTTGTGGCTTTGATCTTATGGTGATTTGAGATCTCGAACAGTTTCTTTGGCTCCATTCTTAGTGGTTTGTGTGATTGAGGATTGTTTGTAGTGTATTGGTTTCTATTGTTGCATAGTTGACCATTGGTTTCGTGATGACAAACTTAAATGGTGGTTATGGTGGTGATTATGGTGGTGGATTTGGTCCACCCTATTTTGTTGGTCTTAGTGGTCGAAGTACTGGCCATGGTAGACGTGGTGGTTGTTCTGGTCATGGTTATCATTGTGTTTGGAAGTGTACTTATTGTGGTAGCACAGGACATACTGGGTATTATTGTTGGGATAAATGTAGGAGACCAACACATGCTAATCAAGCTTTTGGTGATACTTTGGGTTCAATGTATATCAGGTTTCTACTAATGGCCCCATGGCACCTGGTTCTAGCTTTCATGACAATCTTTCTTATTAGCTTTTTCAGTTCCTTCACAAGTTGTCTTCGTTTTCTTCACATTTGTCTACTTCTATTGCTAGTTTTACTAATTGAAGTAACTCAACATGTGTGGTTGCTAAACCTTCTCATACTCTTAGATCATTGATTCAGAAGGGAGTGTTCATATGTCTGGTATGTCGGCCCTGTTCTATAATTTAAATTCATTTTACTCATGTATTGAATTAGCTAATGGCTCCTCTCGACCAGTATATGAGACTGGTGATCTTTGTCCTACGCATACTATGTCATTGACCTCTAGTTTGTTTGTTCTTAGTTTTCACTTTAATTTATTGTCAGTGAGTTGGCTAACTAAGTCATTACCATGTTCTGTAATCTTTAATCCATATTTTTATACTTTTCAGGACCTTAAGACGAAGAATGCGATAACAATGGCCTGTACTAGTTAGATTCTGGTGGTTTTGTCCCTGCATTGAGTGCTACCGTGTCTCCACTTCAATGGCCCTTCCGACTAGGTCATTCTATCATGCACAAGTTGCATGAAGTTATTCTTCATTTGTGTTCTTCTTTTGCGTTAGAATGTGAGGCTTGTCAAGCATCACCATAGTTATTTTCTTTCTAACTCTTCAAGTCATCAATCTAGTCATTTTCATGTTGTTCATACAGATATTTTGGGGCCAACAAAAGTCGAATGTAATTCTAATTTTCAGTATTTTGTGATCTTTGTGGATGATTTCTCTCGTATGACTTAATTATTCCTTATAAAAAACCGATCTGAGTTACCCAAGGTCTTTATCACCTTTTATAATAAAATTCTGACTTAGTTTGATGTTCGTATGACAGTACTAGTTTGATGTTCGTATGGCAGTACTTCGGTCTGACAATGCCCTTGAGTATACTCTGTCATTTATAAAAACCTTTTGTGCTAATTGTGGCATTATCCATCAAACCACCTATCCTCATACCTTCCAACAAAATGGTGTTGCCAAACATAAGCATTGTCATTTGTTGGATATTACCTGCACCTTGATGTTTAACATGCACGTGCCAAAACTATATTGGGCTGATGTTGTTCTTACTTCAGTTTATCTTATTAGTCGCATGCCTTCCCTTATTTTGAACGACCAATCTCCTTTCTCGTTGCTCTATCCTGACAAACTATCATTTAGTCTCACTCCTAGTGTCTTTGGTTGTGTTGCATTTGTTCATCTCCTTGGTTTGGGTAGGGATAAACTTTTGTCTCGCTTGGTTAAGTATGTATTTTTAGGATATTCTCATACTTAGAAAGGTTATCGCTGTAGTTAAAATTATTTGGTACGCTCATGAAATATCGGATTACTTGCAATGAAAATAGTTGCTTAGTTGTCACAATGCATATTTATAGGGCTTCCGACACATCAAGTCCCATATCACGAAGTAATGAACGAACCCATAACATCTCACACGCAGTGTGAGCCATAGCTCGATATTCAGCCTCCACACTAGAATGGGCAACCACATTCTGCTTCTTATTACGCCAAGTAACAGGATTCCCTCCAACAAATGTACAATAACCAAAGATAGATTGTCTATCACTATGACTACCTTTCTAGTTAGGATCAGAAAAACCAACAACTGTTATAGATGATAGGCAATAAAATAATCCTTTTCCGGGAGCTCTTTTCAGGTATTGGAGGATACGACATACGATCTTCCAATGAGGCTTATGAGGAACATGCATAGACTGACTGACTACATCAATAACGTATGTGATATCAGGGCATGTAACTGTGAGATAAATTAGTTTGCCAACCAGCCTTCGATAGTGCCTTATATCATCAAACACTTCACCACTCTCATGATCTAATTTAACTATAGGATTCATATGTGTATCAATCGAACGTGCACCAAAAGTGCGAGTTTTAGAGAGTAAGTTTAGTACATACTTCTGTTGACACCAACTAATACCCTCCTTTGACGAAGCAACCTCAATCCCTCGTAATTATCAAAGGAGGTCCAAATCTTTGGTGAGAAATTACTTCCCCAAATAGACCTTGAAGTGGGCAATACTATTGGAGTCATTACCACTAATGATGATGTCGTCGACATACACAATAACAATAATAATGCTTGCAGAAGACTGATGAATGAAGACTGAATGATCTGAAGTAGACTGCAAACTGAAGTACAGTAGTACTAAACTTATCAAACTATACATGTGGTGACTGTTTCAAGTCATAAAATATTTTCTTCAACAGACACACTAGTTGTTTTTTGCCAGAAACAACATAACTTGGAGGCTGACTCATATATACTTCCTCCCACAGATCTCCATATAGAAAAACATTCTTTATGTCTAGTTGATACAAGGCCAAATCACAGCAAATTGCAATAGAAATAAGAACTCTAACAGAGTTAAGTCAAGCAATAGGAGAGAAAGTCTCACTATAATCCACACCATATGTCTGGGTGTAGCCCTTAATAATCAACCGTGCCTTCAAACACTCAACAAACCCATCAGAATGATATTTCACAATGTAAACCTTGTGAGAATTGACAGGTTGCTTACCAAAAGGAATAAAAAATGAGGACCCAAGTGATTGTCATGGAGTGTCTTAATTTCCTCATCCATAGCAAGTTTTTGGCTAAGAGATGTTAGTGCCTATTGCAAAGAACTAGGAACAACTACAAGATAAGGCCTATGCAAAGAGACAAACTTAGAAATAGGGTGTTGAGTACAAGTACAAGGACCTTTCTACAATACAATAGGCAAATCAAAAGAGAGTGATGTAGTAGACAACTTAGGAGAAAGGACCTTAGTAAAATCAAACATTGGCTGGGGAGTTGGAGCATATGAAACAACCAGTTTATCCAAGGAACGACGATAAACTCGCAATGGAGGGTCAGGAAACTGAGATGAAGAAGATAGACCATTTGGTACAAGAGGTAATAGGAGTTTCCCATGAGTAGTAGATATCAAATCTGGGGAAAGAGTATTGCCTAAATTAGGAAAAAAAAAAGCTGACTCAAAAATTGTAACATCGATACTGACATAATATCGATGAGAGACCGTTCATTTCTTTTGCTTCTGTGTCTTCTTCTTTGACAGCCAATATGTTCTTTTGCTTATGATTTTATTGCTTCTATAGTTTTAGTGTTGATTCTATACTGTTTATTCTGATTCTACTTCTAATTTTCTGTTGAATTTATTTCTATTGTTTTTGGTTATGCTTCTACTTCTGCTTCTAATTTTATGTTGATTCTGTTTCTGCTGTTTCTGATTCTGTTTATGCTGTTATTTCTACTGTTTTTTGCTTTTATTTTTGTTTATTTTGTTTGTATTTTTGTTCTACTGCTTCTGTTTCT